TATCTATAGAAATTAAAATTATTTTTTATCATATCTTCGATTTATATTTTTATTACATTAATGTTTTTTATCTTTGAACATATTTCTAATATTTATAAAAAAGACTTTAAAGTGTTAGGTAATTCCATTATCTCTAGTATCTTATACGGATCACATTTTCCTGCTTCTTCATATTTCACTTCTTATTTGGATAGCATACATTGTGAGCTTTACATTATCGAGTGATGGTAGTTGTCACCTTTTTAAAGATATGTTTAAGTTACTTAAAGAACAGATACTTTAGAGGTCTGCTTTAAAACATTTTAAGTTTAATATAGAGTTGCCTTTACTCCAGGCATGGTTTAGCCCCACTACTTATGTGTGTCCCACCTATGTTCTCTACTGAAGGCTGAGTGTTCAGCAAGGACTCTTGTCAGCTAATGTAAACATGTACATTTCCCAGACCTCTTGTAAGCTTTAGATATTAGTTCTCGAGTCATTCCATTTTTAATCTTGTAGAGTTGTACTCCATGATTGTGTGGATGAGACTTTAACGACAAATGCAAGGGATCCCTATGGAGATTTATTGATCTTTTTCTCCATTTAAACACCCTTCTCTCTAGTTCTCTGTCCTGAAAATGTTGGCTGTCTCAGCCTGCAAGAAACCTGTTATTTGTACCATAAACTGTGTACCATGTTCTGCTTGGTAACCCTCTTTTTGTAACAGTTTCTTAAGAGCCTCTAGCCAAAAGACCAGGACAGAAAACCTTGCTTGTTTCTCTTTTCCCAGAAATTACAGTTCTGCACTGCCTATTGTACAGTATCTGAACACTATGTATTTAAATATATTGCATACAGCAGGAGAGTAAGTCCAATCCCATTTACTCCGGAACGGCCAGCAGTGGAAATACTCTTTGCTAAAGAGTAGAAATCACTATAAAATCATCATTTGATTTTTTTACATATTTAAATATCATTAATAATCAAAACATATTTTGGACATAAATGGAAAATTGTAAGAAATACAATAATAAGTACTATACTTTCTCTAATTTTCATAAGCACTGACACTACTATTAAATAATAACTTTTAAGTGATATTATCACTAGAAGACAAAAAAAGGCAAAAGCTAAATTCAGATTTAGTTATTCCTGCTCCTTAATCTTTAAGTAAGAAAAAAAATCCTCAAAATATTTTCTTTTTTCCTTTTTGGGCTAAATCACTTTATCAAATCCTGGCTAAATTTTTAGGTACAATCATTTCTAACCACACTGACAAGAGTATTAAAATACTAAATAGACTTGTAGCACTTAAAAACTGCTCAATGGTTTGTTATGTTTTATGATTTTTCCCCCCTAATCTTCTAAACTGGATCAGTCATTCAGTCCAGGGCCTAGGATTGCCAAACAAATTTAGTTTATAATAGCGTAAACACTTTAAATTAGATCTCAAAATTAATGAGTTTAAAAGCTTGACCTTCTCAGTTACTAACCTTATATTAGTTATTGAATTAATGCATTAACTTATTTTATTATATTAAGATAGATGTTATTTGTTTACCAACTCCTGGGATTTCCTTTATTCATATATTAAAATTTCTACAAATCTTATTTAACTAAATGGGCACATGAGAATCTCAGAATTCCTAAATACTTACTAGCAGAACTTAGGTCCTTAAAAGGAGCAATTATGAAGTGTTTTATTTTCATTAACTAATGTTTAATAAGAATTATCTATACATTCATATTCACTGTGTCATATATAAGCCAGTAGGTGGCAAACGAGATTTCCTGCACCACAGCTCTTGCTGAAGATGTATTGAACCATGTATCAATGGATCTCATGAATAGCTATTTTGGAGTACTATGGCATAAGAAAAATTAAACCCTCCAATTGTGGAGCCACTGGTATTTGGATAGCAATGTATTTTATTTGGCTTTCTCCCGATTTACTGTTTTATCTTATAATTCTATCTCTAACAAATGGTTTTGCGAGATATAAGATGCCAGTTTGAACCTATCCTTTGCTCTGATTTCCACATTTAAATTTTAGCTGACCTTGTGTTTACCTTGTGGGAAACTTTATGACATTTAAAAGGTGAATGCACAATGCAATATACATATGATGTATTATTGAATTATACACTCGAAACCCATATAATTTGATTAATCAATGTCACCCCAATAAGTTTAATTTTAAAAAAAGATCATGCAATATATACTTTGTCTCACAGAACAGGTACTATAATGTTCTTTTGAAAGTTTTAATAACATTGATCCTCATGTTTTTAAATATAAAACAGTAACTTCTGTGGATAATAATTGTTTTTATTTTCTATAAATATTTCTGTTTCAATGTGACTTATTGGTAGTTATTGGCACATGAAGATGAATTTAATTTCTTCTACATACATTTAATTTTCAAAAGTTTTAGATTTTGTATCAATAACTCAACATCAAGATTGGTTATATTTAGACATATAATTAGGCTTGTGGGTATTTAAGTAAACGTTTCTAGCTATTACATTCAGAGATTAAAATTCAACTGTAATACATGATTTACTCATTTCTCTCTGTGAAATTCATCTATTGCTAACACTACTTCTATGTTCTCTACAAAATTAATTTCTCTTCCTATAAGTTACATTCCTTCCTAACATTCTGTGTTAACCATTCTATTCTAACAATAACTATAGCTTGTTTTCCTTTTCCTAATGAGGAAGAATTTTTTTAAAATGAAATGAAAAGCAGTGACTAAAAACAAACCAGAATTAGGTAACATAGTTGCTTCATTATTTCTACATATAAATTGGGTCATTTAGATGACTTCTACAAGATTTAAGTAAAATAAACTATGCTTCATTAAAGCCAAAAACTATTTGAAAGATTCTAATGGTTGACCACTTGGTGGATAAATTTTTCAAGAAGTAGAAAGTGAATCCACTAATTATTCAATATAAATGTTTGAGTTGTTCTCCAAATATCACAATAACTGAAGACTTTTTAAGGCCTAATAATTTATAATTTTTCCTTCCTTGCTTTGTTTATTTTTAAGGGATGAGGACTCAAAAATTTTTAAATGTATATCATAAGAAAAAATAAATTATAGTGTGCAATTAAATTTAAACTATGAAACAAGCCCTGAATCAAATTTAAGAAAACTGAAATTAGCACTTATGCAATAGATAATATATCACTCAGCTTCAGTGTTTTCAGCATGAGGGCTTTATAAAAAGAAGCTTCTAATCAGGAAGATGCCTGCACTGCACTAGTCTGCATGTATTCAGAGGTCAGGATGGCCTGGTCTTGTGTAATGTGTCCTAACTCAAAGCTCCTTTACTCTCTCTTCCTTCAATTCATCTTCAACTGGGGAGCCGTTTTTGAGAAAAATGATCCACACCCCCAAACACCTTCTCATTCCCCCACTTCCTGGGTCTCCTTGATGGAATAACTTGTGATTTTTCATGAGGTAAAATTAGAGACATAGAAACGGGGTCCATACAGTGATTCGCAGACCTCTAAAGTCCCACATGCATCAGACTAGAACATAAAAGTGCCCAAGCAAGGTTGGCCCCTGCCCTAATGATACTGATGAGAGTAGACTGTCATAAACCGTTGTGCAGTGAGCCAGATTTTTTTAAAATAATGTCCTTTCCAATGTAATACTTAAATGTACAAAGCTCTTGAATTTGAGAACACCCGGTCCCAGCCGTACTCGGTCTGGCAATGCATTTCGGAACGGGTAGCAGTGCTTCTAGGGGACCACGATCCCCTAGAAGAGGGAAGAACCACAGCCATATCCCCACAGAAGTACGGCCTCAGCCAATTGTGTCTCCCCCCAACCCCAGACAAGGAAGGTGACAGGTCATGACAAGCGAGGGGACGCTCCTTACTAGCAGGCTTGAGTCTAGCTCTTCTAGAGAGAAGAGTTCCTTGGTGAGGGTCCTTCAGTGTCCTAGTAAATTTAGGAGTCTGACCTCTCTCCCCATCCCTTGCACTCTCTCTGCCTTTCTTTGACCACTGCGCCCCCGACTCACCCCACGTACACGCAGAAGAAAGTTTTACACAGAATGAGCCCCGTGTTGACGTAGGCATCGCCTCCCCTCCCATCTGGATAGCAGCCCAGGAGGGAGCCTGTGGGGGAGATGTGGAGGTGGGGATCACTTGGATCGCTGTGGTTGGGGTCCCGAGGCGGGGCCAGCCAAGAGTATTGGTTCTAGATGCACAAATAGATCAAGCTCTTCCCTCCTCCATCAACCTCTCAAATCCCAATGAGGTCACTGCAATGAGAGAGAATCAGATCAAGAGAGAGGGGGAGGACGAGGACGACAAGGAGGGAGAAGAAACCCAGACGGAAAAAGGCCATCAGACAAGGTCGCTTTTTCTGGCGACACAGCAACTGCGAGGAGCGTGGTGCTGAATATCATCCGCCCGCTCAGCCTGGGGACCGAGGGACTCGCAGGAGCACTTTGTGCTACCACGAAAACAAAGGAGAGGAGACGAGCGGGAGAGGGAGAGAGAAAGAGAAGCCCTGAGCAGGTCAGCTCTGGATCTCTGGGAAGCAAAGCTGATCCCCTCCGCAAGGCCCGAAGGGGTCTGGGAGCTACCCGGGGAGCGGGCTTTCCCTGCGGAGACTTGGGACGAGGCAGAACTCTGGACAGCGCCTCGCGAGCGGGACTGCGGGCGCCCCGGCTCCTCCAGGTTTCCGGCTCCTTCTTGAAAGCCCTGCAGCTGGTGTGCTCCCCTCTCCTGGACTCCGACCACCGAACCCGGGAAAATCCTCCTACGATCCCTGTCTGAACGTGCCAGAGGGTGCAGCGGCTCTTTTGCCTCTGGCCCCGTCAGGGAAGAGGGTCTCCAGTTCTGGAAAGCCAGTCTTTGTGGATTATGCTTCACTGGTGAAGAAAGAAAAGTTTTGGGGTTTGGTATAGGGGGCGGGAAGGGGTAAGGAGATAGTGGAAGAAAGAAGGTGGATGGTTGGTTTCCCTCTCTGATCTGGAAGGAATGATGACCGAGGAAGGATGTGCACCAGCGGCCAGATTATCGGGAGCCTCTTGGTGCTCTCTGTGCTGGAGATAGGGCTGGGGGTGTCCAGCGTGGCCGTGGGGGCGGTCAGCTTCAGCCTGGCCCTCCGACAGCACAAGCCGCAGCTCGGAGACTCGTCCCCGGTATGGAGCGGGGTGTGTGTACGTTGAGCCATTTCACTCTCTCTTTACCTCTTTAAGGGGATGGTCAGTGTGCGCGCGTTAGTCACTCCCTCCCTGGGGAAGAAAATCACAAATCTCTCCCAGCTTGCATGTAGTTACATGTTAGCAGGCTATGCCTCTTTACGTTGTCCTATTATTCAGCCCAGTAATTTTTTGTTGTTTGTTTGTTTGTTTGTTTTTTCCTTACCTTGGCTTAGAACCAAATTAAATGGCTTTGTTTTAAGTTGGGTAAGGGGGCAGTTTTCACTAGCTGAACCTGCAAAAGACTGTCCAGTGGTGCTGATTAGGGGTCACACCTCTCAAGGGCAGACTCAGCCTCTTGCTTCTTCTACAAGGAAAATCAAAATGAAACTGTTACATCATTTTCTTGTACCAGGAACAAGCAAAATAGAGTTATGCACTTATTTCTAAGTAACAGTGCTTAAGGTACACTAAAGGCAGCACTAGTGTGACAAAAAGAGAAATGTGGTGTGAGGACGAAAGGAGTATTTTATCCTAGAAAACACTACTCGTAATTTTCCCTTGTGAGCTTTCTGTACTTCCCGTCTATCAACTCTTTTTTTAAGTTCTAGGCAATAAGTTAAACAACAAATGGTATGATATTTAACAACACTAGTTGGAAAATAGTTCAAGAAAAATGTCATAATTTTCTCCAGGTCAAATGGCAGACCCAATGAGCTTCTTAATTTTTTTAGTTTAGGTGAATCTCCAGGAAAGCCTTGGAGACCCATTCCTTCCACCAAGAATCAATAAAATAATTCAGCACTATTCCTGGTATGGGCCTAACTGTAAAAATCAACTTTTCTTCTCCTTTAAGATATAAAGCTGCTATATCATTCTGGGTCTCTAGCTTGATCTTACTTTAGATAATTTAATAGGATATCATTCTATCACTGATAATCAATGGGTGTAATTAACAATCATGGCTTAATTGTATGTGCTTTAAGTTACTGAGGAAAAAGTTATTATTTATGAGTTCAAGGAAAATCATTCCAAAGTAATTTATTTTTGAGGGAAATTCTAGCATTCTTAAAACTGGTATAATTATGCTTTGGAAAATAGTTTTTATATTTTAATTTTTCAAAGTGAAGTGAATATTTTCAAATTGGTGAAGTTAAAAGAAACAAGAAAAATCGTGTTCAATTCTAACATTGAATTCCTCCAAGAATCCTTGTTTTAAATTCAGTAATAATTTACTTCCAACCTCTGAATAAATTACCTTTTTCTTTATTATATAATTTTATCAATGCATATTTTAAATTTAAGTGTGAAAATCTAAAAAGCAAATTAAATCTAGTTTTACATCTTATATATAGTAGTGGTTAATTTGAGAGTCATAGCTATTATTGTTATTTAACATAAATAGTCAGACTCTAAAACTTCTATCAGACAATTGTCAAAATGCAATGCCAACATTTAGGGAAAGGGGAAGAAAATGTGATCTTCTGATGGCTTATGAGAGAGAAACCTCGAACACTTTTCAAATCACTTCCCCTCTGAAATTTAAGAAATCGAATGAATAAACTTAGGTTGTCTCTAAATAGTATTAAAGTATTATCTTCAAGAATAAAAACATGGTTACATTTGCTTGACAGCATGTAAGAAAAATAATTAAATGATTTTACCTCTCTTCCCAGGCTATATACTATTACCTAGATGAGTTGACATATGTGTATGCACAGAAAATGAAAATTTTGAATCAGCTTAGTAAAAACAAACAAAACAGTACTATATGTATATATAGTAATCATTATCACAAAGAATTATTTCCATTTTAACTTTTCTTTAGAGTAACCAAGATTTACCTATGATTCTTAAATGATAGTTTTGAATTCTATTGTCTGATTCAGTAAAGGCAAAAAATACATGTGATTGAATGAATGGATTAAAACTAGAATGCTCAAACAGTTGGTCACTTTCATAAACTCAAAAAACAATCAAATTCATGACAAAATAAGTATCCAGTTTTGATCACCGTTTATCAAATGATAGGCTTGCTAAGTTGAATTTTTAACTTATTTTTCAGAGGTCATTTGTGATACAGTCTGAATTATCTCAATTCTATCAATGATGAACTAATATAAGCAATATTTATAGAAGGACTTGCCATATGCAAGGCATTTTACTATTTAACACAAAGACTGCTAAAATGAATCAGAATGTCTAGTAGAGGAAACAAGATGGGTACATTCTTAACTTTATCAGCGGTGACAAATTAGAGTTTGACCTCAGAGAGATACCAGGGCAGATAAAGGGAAGAGAGGTTGGTGTAGCCAATGAAACATTTATTGGAAAACTAGGAAAACTATTTTTCCTTTGATCTTTCAAGTCTATTGGGACTTGGAATTAATATATCACAGTGTTAAGTAATGTATGAAATCTGGAGTCTACTTGGATACAAACCCTAGCTAGAACTGCCATTCACTATCTGGATGACTATCCAAAGTGTCCTCATACATTGTAAAATAGGGTTGTTAGAAGGTACAAATGGAATAATGCTCTTAGTAAAAAGCATAGTATGTAGTAAGCATTGAATAAATGTGAACAGCTAATACTGAGTGCATAGACTAGCAGTGAAGAGCATGAGAAAGGAGAGCTTTCAGGTAGCATGGATAAAGGCAAAAAACTGGGACAGGGTGGGTAATGTTCCAGGAAAAATAGGTTCTTCTATTTTTCTGGGGTTTAAATGTGTGAGGGGGAGATAAGGATTGAAAGAGTGGATGGGGCCAGACCACAGGAGGTTGTGTGCCAGTCCAAGACAATAGGTTTATTTCCTCATATTTTTTAAATAGTAATAATAATAATGCCAATTCTTACTTTCCAGAGTTTCCAGGGAGATGCAGAGGAAAAGTAGATAGAGAATTGTTAATCTCTTTGGTATTTTATGAATTAAAAAATCTGTATTATTTATGAACATTAGATGATATTTTATAATAATTAACTTGTCAGGATAACTGTAGTCTCTAATCAAAGTGTGTTTTGATTGATGCCATGAAGTTTTTTCAAAACATTAATATCATTATTACAAGATTTCTGAATTAAGTTTTAGGAGCCAGTGGAAAGAAAAACTATACTATGAAAGGATTACTTCTTATATATAAACCCTAGCATAATAAGCTTTTTATCTAGATCAAATGCACTGAGAATTCAGACAACAATTTTGATTATTTGGACCCAAATACACAATTTTTTTTTTTTTAAAAAAAAGGTGGCTTAAAAATAAAATAGGACCAAGGTAAAGGTCTTAAAATCCGTGAGATGGATGCTTATATGGATTATTTCCAGGCACTATTTCATAATTAGGCAAAGAGTGCTTCTGCGATTAGTCTAAAAAGTATGGGCGTTTAGAAGGAAAAAATAATTGAACTATACTTTCATAGAGAAAGTAAGCTATAACTGCCTTTATAGAATTTTTGCTTTTTCTTGATTCTTTGCTATAGCTGATATAATCACCTCATTGAATGCATAAAAGAAAACATTAGATAAAAGAAGACTATTAGATAACAGTGAGTGAACCATTGAGTAAACTGCTTTGGAAAAGACATAGTCATGTGAAATATAATTGATGTATAAGATTTATTGACAGAGAGTTAAATAGACAAGGCTACGTTTCCAACTTGCTGTGTGATACTCACTTTTCTCTGTCTGTCATGCATCACATGTTAAGGGAATGGACTGTATTTAGTAGTACATAGATTCATGGTTCCAGGAGAAATTTATTTTGTTACTCTAGGTTGACCCTTGGAAATCTAGAGATTCAGATGGTGGTGTCGGGAGTGACATCTGATTCTGAGTTGTATTTGATATATATCATGCTAAATTCTACCCACGTATATCTGATAATCATTCTACAAATCAATTATATTAAAAGAACTTTCTAAGCCTTGTTTGCCCTATGTATAAACATAGTCTTTAACAATATCGAAAATTTTTGTTATCTAAATCATATAAAGTTTGAGTAATTTTTACTACTAATTTTTCTGGACCATACTTGATTTGTATATCATAACTTTATCTGCTTAATAAATCTGATACTTTAGGTGAATGAAATTTATAGCATAATCAAGCCACATACCTGTTTTGTGGACTCCTGATTCACCATGGCAACAACTCAACCGATTTTAAGATTGTGTTGAAATTCACCTACTGTATATTCTGATCCATACCATAGTGATACAAATGAGGAGCTATATAACTGATAGCTGATCCAACGTATTATTTTTAATATTTAAATCTGCCTGATTTATTTAAGGAAAAACAAATAGAACAATAAAGTGAAAAGAACCCTTCAGTTATTTTTAATGTACAAAATTTGAAGCTAGAGTGTCTCTGACCAGATAATATATCATTTTTCTCCGGAGTCAGGTACATAAAATAAGAGATTCATATTTGGCATGAAATGAAAACACTCCCCCATCCTAAGAAAAAAATTACAAGTGTACATTTATACCTCATTTTAAAATTAATTTTAATTGTGCAAGTAATTTATAAATACTCATTTTAAAGGGTTAAAAAGAAAGATCAAAACTAAAGTTCTCTTTCCTACCATATCATCATAATTAGCCACCCTTATAAATTTAGTGTATAATCGCATAGATATTTCTCAATGCATAAATTGTATTGTTTGAACATACAGAACAATTTTCATTGAGTTTCTAGATGTGATAAAGCCTATTCACGGACCCTGTAGAGCCCAGGTAAAGAATTTCTTATCTGATTAGCATTCTTATTTTCAAGTGCTACCTGTTTTCTACTGGGGTTAGGGCAATTAGATAATAGCCAATTAGATAAATTAGTCAAGCTAAATTACTGGGAAATGTAGTTGTTATTTAAGGAAACTTCAGTTATTTATTTGTTGACAGCTTGACGCAAACATTATCTGAATAAAATCAAACTCTTTTATTTGGATGTTTTTGCCTAAATGTTCACACTGGTGCTCTGCACTGACTTAATTATTCGCC